TGATATAATCTGTGCCTAACAGCCACAAGCCTTTGTAAACCAATCCGCTCAACACCAACAAGATCAACTCTCTCTACACATGTCACGAGTGCGCTTATCGCGCCTTCTATTGCATATACGTTTGGATATTTACGTAGCACAATGTATCTTGGCTCATCATGGTAGATGAGGGGTGGCTGGTCATCACTAGGTTTGACAGGCACATGAGACTAGTGGGAATTTCTCCCCTAAGATGTAAATGTTGTCACAGGCTCATACCTGGTTATCATTAGGCTGCTGCCTAACAAATAAGGCTTGAACTCTTCCAACCATATTAAACATCATAAAAGTCATGAGCCCCTCCATGACTCATTAGACCCAAGTATACGCCTTGGCCCAGTTCATGCAAATCTATTCTTAAATGACAAATTAAGATTACAGACAGGACGACTCGAACACCAGTCGTGAGTCATCTAAGCCACATGCATCATAACTATTTTAATAACTAAAATTACTAACATTAAAATGAAGCTGAATTAAAATAGACGGAGATGCTGGTGTTTGTCGGAGGACAGGTCATGATCTATTTTGAGAATGGTATGAAATGAGGGAACGAGATTATAGTCTTGTAAATAAATAGGAGGCTTTCAGTCATGTCTCTGCTCGTTACTTTAAGATTTTCATTTGTATCTAGCTCTGAGTTCAGTTTGAATAAAACGCCACTTTAAGACCGTCACAAATGTAAGTCCAATGTTCCCATAGTTGTAAAATATCATGTCTTCTGTACTTCATCATATATATCCATATAATATTGTACAGAGTATATTTTCCAACAATCTGCATTATCTTACTCTCGTGACTCTCCTTTCTCAATATCCCAACACCTGGTGAAAGAATAAGGGATCACATGATAATGTAATACAGGGACATGGGCTGGACTAAGGTGAAGCCGCAGCCGAGCTTACTTCAAGCTTGTAGCTACCAGCACTTTCTTTCTCTTTGTCTTTTCTCCCACCTAACATTATGGTGTCACAGACCAAGGACCTATTCTAAAGTAATAGGAACTATATACGAAGATATGTGAGCCATTCTACTATATTCTATCCTAATCTGTTCTGTTCTGTTCTGTTCTATATTAGAGTAAACTGGAAAGTTCGAGAACAATAGAGAGGAATATATAATGGGTAATTGGGATGACCATGGTTCAGCAGATTATTGTCTTGTATTCTTAGGAACTTTTTAGAAATTATTAAATCTTATCTTATGTCAAACTCTTTGTGACGGCTTGTGAGCCGATAAGTCCTGTAGCCTTCAATGGCTATCGAAGGCAACCTATATTCTCTATCACTCCGAGGATTGCTAGCAGACTAAAACAGCTACGTAATCGCCACTGAGGCTATGTAAAGGATAGTGCCAAGAGTATCAGAAGCGTTACCCGTGTGGCAGAACAAACCTTTAGTCAGTTTCATTGCCACTGTAAACTTGGGCTATATTTAGATACCTCTAGATGTGTATAAGTAGTACGGGAGACTTGCAGGTAGTTTGCTTCTCCATAAATGAATTATAGCTTTACCTTTCAATCATACAAATGCCCAATTGCTTTCTATATTCGAACTGTGACACTCTTGAACTGTTGAGCCCTTGAATTGTCGAAATCTTGACCCCTCGGTATGCAAACACCTCTCGTACCCTTGACATATGGTTTGAATTTTGTCTGAGCTTATGTGGATACTGTGAGTGTCCGGATAGAGCACGAGCTAAGCAATGACAATGCTAAATCAAGTAGAGATTCAGACCAGGATTGAAATGTATAAGATTCTAAATTAAAGAGAAGGAATGGAATACATCTACAGGTCTATAATAGTACATAATTTACACCTGGTCTGTGCATTCCATACAGGGTAGCTCTATACAACACTGACTAATTGCTATGTCATTGCATCTGTACTCAAAACTATGGTGCAGGGCTGTCACAGATACCTAAACAATTTGTTGAGAATTCATGTTGTAAGACTTTAAGTAAATGATAGAGGAAACTGGAAGATACGGCACTACTAGCCAAGGGGACAGATCAGTGTCACAGCATAGTGATTCTTGATAATATCTGGCTGGGTGGCAAGTATTTGGCCTAGGGCAAAGAAATCAGTCAAGACAATCACTGAGGGGCTGAATGTTATAAATACCTGTTAGTTGTAGCTACATCTCTATTTCTTCTTTGTACAGTTTATCAAATCAACATTGTCACGGTTTTATTACAAAATGCATGAGCGATCTTGTAGGTACAATATTTTGATTATAATTCTCTAAAGAGAGAATTCCTGTACTTAATGACTACCTATATATACAGTCTGAGATATCCCTCCTCAATAAGGTTCTCTCTGTTACTTGACAGCTTAGACTCTCCAATAACCACCTAGGAGATCCTTGATACTCCTGTAACTCTCACGAACTCTCAGTATGTTTCAACAAGGTTCAATGTGAATCATCCCAGTTCCATGTCATCCAAGATCTTCTCAGGAACCTCCCTTCGTATAATTGCCTGCGCTAGACAGCGTAGGCTACAGGAACCCTAAGGCTTGACAGCCGTCACAACAAGGAGTGGTGATGTGGTCATCCTCACTTCATGATCCGTAAGAGAGCTCCTAGTAATAGGCTTCTGGGTTGACCAATGTCAGATTGGAGCGTAGGCATATGAGCTGAAGCGCAATTGGAGGGCGAGAAGAGGTCGCATGGACCGCAAGAGATGACTGAAGGTCAACTGGAGATAACTTGGAGGAACTAAAGGTTCGAGTGGGTACTAATGGTAACTAAAGATACTAGAGGTGACCAGAGATGATCCGAAGATGGTGGTTGTGACAGAAAACTAAGCGTGAAGAACTACTTAGTGTTACAGGCTGCGCCTATCTCCTAGTGACTGTCGCGCGGACACTTATCATTATTACGTCATTAGCCTTGCTATCTAAAGAGATGTCCAACTTGGCCATACAAATACAGGGTTGCAACAAATATGGAAACAAGATATTGTTGCAGCAAGTCTCATATGGAATCATGGGCCGATACGACCCAGTTTCGCTATGACGAGCCCACTCGGAATATCAAGGATATGGTGTAGTAGAATAGATAGTGAGGTTAGCGCATTGGGAGTTGGGACACCTTAAGTAGCCTCCCATCGGTGGGCAGTTCCGAGATGTATGTAGAAAATAGACAGTAATCGGCCACCATTCCTTTACTAAATAGTTTTGTTGATCGCCCATCACACTTAGCCATAGACCAAGCTATCATACATATAGTTGCTTTCCTTCCACTAGCTCTTCATAACATAGACCTTAACCCAATATCAACATGATGCCATGTGCCAAGAACTATTCTGTTGTCCTAGCAACATAGAGTGAATGGTAAAATTATGAAGTGAAGTGAGGATGGGAGGAGGAATCCTTACAACCAACCTATTCTATCTCTTCGATCTCTCGTTTGCCGAATTTCTTTATTAGGACTTATGAGACTTGGAGAAATGCTAAATGGATTCAATTCGAACATTGCTGGACCTATAAGTAAACTTTTCTTCGCTATTTGTGGGTTAATTTCTGGAAGAAGATGGCACACCCTAGACATACATCCCTATTTCTCACATTTGAAGCAACTTCCCTCTTTCCGAAGTTTTGTCAGCTAATCCTCTGATTTCTATGTTGCCCTAAGACAGTCTTTTTTCCTTCATGGCAATATTGCAATAATCTCATTTCATGTTTGCACCCAAATTGACTGATCTGAATCACTGACTGACTGCGATTCTGAATTAGAGCGAGAGAATTATAATGTCACGGTTTCAATACAAAATGCATGAGCGATCTTGTAGGTACAATATTTTGATGATAATTCTCTGAAGAGGGAATTTCTGTACCTAATGACTACCTAAATATGAAGTCTGAAATATCCCTCTTAGAGAAGGTTCTCTCTGTGACTTGGCAACTCAGACTCCCGGATAATCACCTAGAAGATCCTTGATACTCCTGTTACCCTCATGAACTCTCAGTATGTTTCAACAAGGTTCAATGTGAATCATCCCAGTTCCCTGTCAACCAATATCTTCCTAGGAAGTTCCCTTCGTATAATTGCCTGCGCTAGACAGCGTAGGCTACAGGAACCCTTAGGCTTAACAGCCGTCACAAGGTAGAGGGCCTCCATAAAATGAAAAGACTGAAATTTATATGTCGGCGACTAAAGATGTGTTGGTATTTGCTTTCGACTTCGATTGGGGTGCGATTCTTCTTAGTTATCTCAAATATGCAGAGCTTATTGAGCGATTACACCGGTACCAATGGAAGGTGTAGAAATCATTTTTACCGGCGGCCAGTCTGGTGGTTTATTTAATGTCGTAGCAGCTCACAGTACAACTACGAGGTTTCATGTTGGCCAGATTAGTCTGTACAAACTATCCGAGGTAGCCGGTGGCGAGGAGAAAATCGCTTAATCCTGCACAAGCAACACGCTCATGTGGTTGTTTCTAATACAGTCTTCATGTCAGTACTGAGGATTTCAATTTCTAGTAGGGATGAACGATGGAGGCCAGCCGTGTGACTTAATTTGAAAAGTCTTAAATGCTTGCTAAGGAAAGATAAAAATTTAATTGCCACAGGCTTGAGTCATTTAATGACATTACATATTCTACTGACTTTAATGAGCTAAGAAATTAATTTAACTCTACGCACAAATTTTGCAGTTATTTCCTCCTTTCGGATCATAGTGATCCACATGATGTTACTGTTATTTAGCAGTCTTATCTTGAATTTTTAAGAAAGTTAGTCAGCTCAACACCCTCACTCACAACGTGCATTCATATCTGTATCTCTAAAGTTGCCCGAATGTCCAGGAATGAATGGTTTGTAACGGATATAAATCTCCAATCTTGCTTGCTCCATGTATCCGTCTCAGCTCGTCTTCAAAGTCTTTCATAAAGTTCTCCACTCAAGTATTTGATACACCAGCTCCTCGAAGCTTTATCTCGAGGATATCTGCAAGCAAAGATGAAAGCATGGAAATTGTTCTATATTTTAGCTATCTTTCATTATTATTCAGTGGAAATGAGGGGTCCTGATCGCAGCAGAGAATTCTTCAAGTGCAACAATGATCTAATACCAAGTACAGAGGCAAAAAAATCTGCTGCTCTTGGTTGTGATCAATTGAAAATTGCCCATCCTACGAGTATATTTCCAGCATCGTACATTGACCCTGGAGTTTTTGGCAAGGAAAATACTGCGTACTTTACATGGCCAGTATATGTAAGAGATAATACATTGTCGCGAGGTATGTTTTTGGACAACTAACACTGAAATCCATTCAACGAAACCATTGGAAGTCATTTTCGATTAGTTCCTGATTTTACTTATAGATTTTTCTAGCCAAAACCGTGTTCTAATAGACTCAGACTGCCAATTAATTGGTCTCGTAAAATTCACGTCTCAAGGACAAGAAGCCTGTATGCATCTGATATCTCGTCACAAAACTGAGTTGGATCATAGTAAACATTCAGATCAATCACTGTGGACAAATCTTCCACATGCTGGCTTTAAATACAAAAAAGAGTTGTACCTCACAAGTGATATTGAAGATTTTATTCAATCTGATACGCAATTTTTGCTCAAATGCTACAGTTCAATTGAAACAATACTTGATTTTGCCGCCCCAACGAGTCTTGGAACAATTAAAGTCTGGAAATGTCCAATCGCACTTGAAAATGGAGTTATTAAGAGCGGTAGGCTTTTATCTTAAAAACATTCATCAAATTCTGACAAAAATATAAGGAAAAATTCATTCTATTCGCTACTTACTATTGGGGCAGGATAGGAAGATTATCGGTGTAGCCCGCAGGGATATGAATCGGATGAGAGTTCTCACTGAAGTTCGGATTCTCAACGAAGCAGACAAGGCGAAGCTTGAAGCTAAAAAGTCGACAGAGGGAGTTGAGGAAGAAGTTCCTGATGTAAAATATGACGGATTTCTTTTTACATCTTCATTGCTGAAAAGCCATCGTCGAGTTGCTTGTTTTACACTGCGAAATGATGGGAAATCAATATTACCATTGAGCGCATATCTTTCCAATAACAGTGATGAGAGTAGTGCAGGTCAGGCTACATGGACGTGGCCATTGAGAATGCCCGAGACTTTTCGCAACGGTACGTTCATAGCCAATTTGGAACTGACATTGGCTGATGTTTAGAAGATCGGAATTACTTGTTATTAATAAACAATCTCTGTGAGATTATTGGCATAAGGAAGGGAATCCTTAAACTCAATACTCCCCGCATGAAAGGTGGTCTGAGAGAATAGAGTCCCCAAATCTATCCAAGACACGCCACAAAGATGGAGTCACCTCTGATCTGCTCGCAGAGTTTGGCCTTGACTAGAACTAGACGAACCAAAAGCTTTCCTCTTTGTAGTAGGAAAGACATATTACTTTGAAGACTTTGGTAATACTTCAGCCTACGATATGATTACTTAAAACCTCAAAACTTTCAACGACATAGTATCAAGAGGACGACGATGGGCCCTTTCTCAGCATTGTTTCATCGAAAGCAGAGGTTCAGTCATTAACAGGGCGAATCTTGTTATCCCACTTAATTGTAAACTGATCTTGGGATTAATAGAGCAAAAAGAAAATATGGTGAATCCTAGGGTTAACTGCTCGAGATTTAATATTTCTGTTGGAATTACTACGGTGTGGTTTCACGATCGATCGTAATGATTCAGTAAATAGTTGTACGATTCTGTGTTGGTGTAAAATGTTCATAATTGTCTTGTCTACTACGCTATACAGGATTCACAGCTATACCGTGGATCCTGGCTAGCGCATCCATGCTGAAGTCATCATGTGATCCCCACATGATGACACATCTACTTTTACGTCTCAGATAAATCGTCACTTACCATAACTCTGAGCCTTATGATTCCGAATAAGACGGAGAACAATGTAGCCTATCTTGTAAAGATGGAAGGGCAAAAAGATGTCAGAAAGGAGGTGAGGATGATGTAAATATATATGATTGGCCCAGGGTAGGTATTGGCGTTCTGATTGTAGGAGGTATGGAGGTTCTTAGCTAGCAAAATAATGTAGGGGTCACGGATGATCGAATATATCAATGAAACGTTATTTGTATGTGACTGGTGGTTTACGACTGTCCGGTGCTTTACTGTCGGCGATGCTATCTGCGCTATAGAAAGCTATTTAGAATTGTCGTTTTTCTTCCTCCTTCTAAACCACTGCCTCGTGCTCTATTTGTACCCACGACCAGTGCCTATTCGGTACCCTTCATATGCCAGCGCTCGATCCTCAGTTTATGTTCGCGCCACCTTTGCCACTGGCTACCACTATCTTTGTTCCCATAAGCCCCTCTCTCCACCGTATCCCGCTCATGCTTGCTCCTGGCATGGTTCATGTCCGGACTTTATGTATCAGCGTGGCGCTAGACGCGCGGACGATCCATGGTTTCGGTGCCTGGAACCTCAGCATCATCCTGCTCCATTAATAGTCTTTTTTTTTTGCATCAGATTTTAATTACGTATGCAGCTATTTAGCTGTGACATTACTTGAGAGAAAAGTACACAATAGATGACTCAATATAATGGTAGAGCACTCATGTTTTGGATTTCATTTGCCAGTACCACCGCGAAGTTATGGTGGCTTTTTCTTCACCCCAAGTCAACTCTCATCTGTGAATACTCACGCGGGAGAACGTCTTAAAAACCCTGAGTTATCTAGACATGCCTCTATCATCTTTCAAATTTTCTCCGCACGAAATATGGTCTGAGGCGTCTCCTTCCCCAGTGGAGTAGGTGCCCAGGCTACTCGAACTATACCAGAGAACACCACCAGGAGACGGACCATAACACCTTCCATCGTTGACTTGTGTTTATAGTGTTAGCTGCACTCTTGCATGCGAATTCTTGGCGCGCACAAAGCTCGATTCGTAAAACTCCTTGCCAAATTTCGAATTTCACGCCCTTCGAGATAATATCCTTCCTTTGCATCATTTTGTAAACTTGTCCTAATCCCTCTCACGTCTATCCCAAAGAACTATCTCCCAGATTTGTGCGCCACGCTTCCTCCGGCGGGTGTAAATATCGGCGTGGGCGTGTATTTGGTGGTCAACTGAGACCAGAGACGGTCGGAAAGAGGTGTGGTCATTGAAACGAGGATGTACTAGGTCGTACTTGTAGACTTGTTGAAGCTTAGTTGAGAATCGGACTCTTTGGGAGTGAAAGATTGATATGGTGGAGTAATTTGAATTTTTGCCTCGTGGGCCAACTTCTTTGATATTGCGAAATTTGACTGAACTTGGCTCTGGGAGAATATTTCACCCCCAGGTTCGTAGAGGACACCGCGTACATGTATTCAGTCTTGCCCTCCCACCGCCGCCTGTGATAGGCAGCAAGATTCAATGTGGCGTTCACGGGCACCTAAGTAAATACTGATATGGATCCCTCATCATGTAGATAAAATTGAGAAAACCAATGCACAATCAATATACACCAGTGTTCGAGCATATGCTAGAAACCGTAGCCATCGAGTGTTACCAATACAGATCGGTGATGTCACAGATCAGGAGGCGGTACCATTTCGAAGAGAGAAGCCCAGAATAGACCTCCCTGAACCTCCATATTCAGCCCAGGTAGTATTCTCCTCTGCTAACGATATCTATAAGGCTATTTCGAGCGAGTTCTTCCTGAACCACCACACTCAGCCCAGAACTGCTCGGAGTAATCGAGTAATGTCTCGAAGAATTCTCCCTGAACCCTCACATTCAGTCCAGGATTCGCTTCCATCAAATACAAGACCAGAAAACACCCAAAACGGAGGACGAAGGCTGAAAACCTGTCAGTGGTGTCCTCTACGAACCTGGGAGTGAAATGTTCTCCCAGAGTCGAGATTCAGTCACGAAAAAGGGTGGGATGAGTTTTATTTGATGGATTTTCGACTTGAAGGAGTTGCACTCGATATTTTGGTCGAGAAATCAGTCGGCAGAGATTTCACAGCCGTAACAAAGTTGTTTAAAAACTCATCACCACCAACATACAATTCACGAATGGGTCTAGGTCTGTTTGGGGGTCGTATTCAAACATCCGACATCTCCAAACTCCTCATATATTTGCAACGAAGCATTTCTCGGCCGATTCTACACCTGCGACCCACCTCCATACTCGTCCGATCACCTATCTACACACGCCCTAATGAGGAAAGTCGTGATGGAAACGGGACGTGTACAAAGGAGGAAGGAAAGAGGGGATACACCGAGGGGATTACACAAATCCCCAATGAGGAAAACAACCCGACGGTACGATATGAAGGTGCAAGACTAGAGCAACGATGAGATCTTGGACGGCATTTATATTTCGGAGTAAATGAGGATGTCAAGGGCTCGGGCGCGTGGTGGCCGAGGATGAGGAGGAAATTGCGCTACGGCGTGTATACAGCAGGTTTCTGGACGGTTAGGCTTGGTATGATTCAAAACATGGGTGAAGTCTGAGGTGGTCCGGTCATTAAAGTAAGACGAGGTTTATCTTTACTTCACGGTAGTTAACCTCATCCGGCCCGGCCCCATTCGTGCTCAAGCTCCAGTAGGAGTGCAACGTTATTCACTTAACCGAGCACGTTAATGAACAAAAAAAAACACCCAAAACGTCAGAACCTCACCTCTAACCTACTTTTCACCTCACAAGCACTTTGAATACCCCGAAAACCTTCAACCTCTTTACACTGACATACATCCTACCTCATCATCCCTATATTCAAATTCTCCGGATACTTTTACTTCTACCCATCGATCTTTAATTACCTTTTCCCTACCGTGTTAAATCAGATCCATTTCCATCCAAAATAGTAACAGTACCGGAATAATGGCTGATGACAAAGAGGGAAACTGGGATACAAGAGATGTCGATATTCAAATCGCAACAAAAGCCGAACGAGGTTCTTGGTTGAAATATTATCTTGACAAATACATCAGAAGTCCTCTTAAAAAATATGACATGTGAGATGTGTTACGCATCCACTTTGAAGGTTGGAATATTTAGCACTTTCAAGGTGTAAGTGTCGAATAGTAGGACACAAGTTTTAATTGGATGTGCATTAAACAAGGATGCTGGAGTTTGGGTGGTAATAATGATTATGAAGATGTAATGACAAATGGGTAATAATTAGTAATAGCTGTGTAAGAATATATTATGTGACGAGTGTTCAAGGTCATTAAGGCCCTGGCGCTCCATCACAAATGAAGATAGATATAAATGAATGAAACAAATGTTATTGAGTTACCTCAAACAAAGAATCCATAGGAAATATTCCTACAGTAAATGCCGCGCGAGTATCCTCTCTCCGCGCTGAACTCCACCGCGGCGGTGTTTGGGTTAATGTTTCTCGCTGCACTAATATGAACAAGGCTCTTGTTGCTTGCCTCAGTGAATCTGAACCCCATGAATAGACGAGAGAGGAAGCTATCGTAGCGCAGAATCACACTGGTTTGCTATCGCATACCCTGCTCCAAAAACTTCGTAACAATTGGAAACCATACTTTGGTGATAAGGATCAATCTGAACCACACAACACAAGTTCGTCAACTCGTCCTCAACGTAATTCAACAACGCAGGTCTGCATGAATATAGCCAAACTTTATTCTTCAAATGATCAGAAGTATGGAGGCAATACCAATTCAATAATATAACGCTTAAAAAGGTCATTTCAAATAATCCGACAAAGTCCCAAAGATTGCATAGATCTTCTCGTCGACAACCTTTAGCAACTGCAACTCGGCCTAGCTGCTCCATTCAGAACAGATTTACACCTTTATCAGACGCAAATTCCTGCATGTGCTCCCTTTGAGGCATGCCAGTATGCATGCATAAAACCTTCTCCCACATTGCCGGGTATCATCAGTGAACTCAAGGGTGCTGTCGATATCTGGCAGGCATCGCATCCAAATTCTCATCTGCAGCAAGAAGTACTTACTAATCAAATCGATACTTTTTCTCCGTCCGACCCGGAAAATAAGTTTGTAGATGAATTTGATATTGATGTTTTCTACATAGATCGCACCTATCACGGCAATTGTGGCTGCAACAAAAACCCCCTTTTTGGCCGTGTTGTTGTAATTTTGCATCACGTGCAAGTGTCTTAGCGTGCAGGCGTTCTTTCATTACTGCGTCCAGTCTCTACGTAATATAGTTAATTATAATTCCTTTTAATTCACGACATTAGATACGTTCCTCTTCCTCAAGATCCATCTCTTAACAATAGGTTATGAGCCCGGATTTAGCGCAGCGCTTATCATCAGTTC